TTAAGTAATTTTAATTAAAAACCACAATACCCTTAAAATCATACAATTTTCGGAGTGTCGGTGATAGTTCAGTGGTAACGATCTAAACAAGATGGTTATCCCGCTCTATAAAACCATAATCGCTTCAATTCATCTAGGAATACTCGTGTGTGAATAGCATTGTTTTCTTTAATCCAGAAGGGACAGAATCCCTCATAAAATTGCAAATTTAGGCTATGCAACTCAGAATCAGACAGCTACGTTGCGGCTTCACTCAGCTACGACCGGTTTATGTCTCGCCAAGGAAAATGCACTATTTGGCTCGATACACCAAACTTGATGACCTAAACCAATGTCATAATATATGCTCTCATACAGATGAATGTTTTGGAATAACAAAAAAACTCGAATATCAAAGAATTACTATAGTCAGGGGCAGTTTTAACACTTAAAATTGTTCTATGATACGATTGTTTACAGCCGAGCTCGTAATGTGATATTTCGTAGAGACATCGGAAGGCGATCGGGAGACCCGAAGGCAAACTTCTGACTTGGAAAAAAAAAATAAAACTATACCCTTTGCATTTTATACCTCGTGCCCCGGCTAAGGGCCCGGTCACGAGTAATTATTAAGCAAAATAGCATTTACGATTTTATTACGGAGGAGGAATTTTTTTTCAAAAATTAATAAATCTTCCAAATAAATTACAAACGTAAGCAGCAAAGCATCCTGGTTCCCAGGGCCATATCCCTTTGCTTGAAGGGATAAAGCCCTGGGAAGGAGGTCAGCAGCAAATTATATTTATGATGATTGTTTTGCTTTGCGAAGTAGGAAAAAATATGGTAATGGTGGAATCCGTAAAAAGAAAAAGATTATACTTTCATATCAATTTATGACACGCATACTTTTTCACATATGTATTTCAATTGTATTGTATACAGAATTATACTAAATATTTTGTACACTAGTAAGGTCGTTGCCCTCCCTTCAATTTTTTAGGCACATAAATTTGGATTTCCCTCCCCACTCCCCCATGACTTAAGCGAGGGGAGTTTTATATTGCTCGGGACTTTCTTTAACTAAACTATCGAAAATATGGAAAAAGAGCATTTTTGCCTAGCGCAAAACGTTTCTGTCAATATAAAACACAAATATAAATTATTAAAAGTGTCATACATTGCTGAGTAACTTTAAGGATCATTCAAACCCAGACACTGCAAAGACTATTTTTGTCCCTATTTAATATTTGATGAGGGGATTTTCCCGAACCATCTCCATTCAAGAGAATTCTCGAGTCGGAATTAAAAACAACCATTCTTAATAGCATTATATCTGTCCGATTTATTCTCGGTCGTCCTTTTATAATATAATAAATATTGTCTAATATTGCCAAAGTATTTCAAAAAAGGATACTAATTATTATTTCTTTAATTTTGTTGTATATTCTCGGAAATTGTGGGATTTTTTTAAGGGAATTTAACGAAAATTTACAACCACCTGCAACAATTCTGCCCAACATTATCAAGATTCTCATGGATAATTTTGTGATTTTCGCTATTTTCTCACTAAATAAGACTACAAATCAGACAAACTCTTTGAAATTATGTACTAGGTTATATCATCAGATATATTCTTTATTTAAATGCCAAATTAAAGTACTAACTTTGAAATATCAGCTACACCATATAGTATATTGATATATTTATGTATGTTAGCGCTCAAAGTTTTATGAAATTGTCGTATCAAATTTTAGAATATAAACTTTATTTAACTGCTAATTATAAGTAATAGCATGGCTCTGAGGGAGATTAGGGATTAAATGTCCCCGAAGCCGAGGGCAGATAAGCCCGAGGCTGAGGGACATTTAATCCCTAATCTCCCGAGGAAGCCATGCTATTACTTTGTAATACCATGATTTCCGAGGAAAACATTGAACTTGAGCGAATTTGAATTCTTGTTTTTTTGTATGCTCCAATGTTTTCAATTCATGCATGAATTGGAATATGACATGAAAAGAAAGGATACGCACTGTTCTAAGAGTATCACTCGCCGAACCGGCAACAGTACAAAATGATATTGATAATCCGACCATTGTTACTGATTTCCCACAACGAACTTTGTTTGAAATTGCTTTTCAGTTCTATTCAATGCTGAAATTAACGAACCTTAACTTCAATCGCGAAAAGTTGTTTTTATATTTGCAAGTATAATGCCAAGAAGCTTATCAACTATTATCAAACATTGAAATTCGTCAAGTGCACATGCTCAGCGGTACGAAGTAGATACTCGGAACCAGAGCTACTCGGTCAATTTGTCCCAAAAATCATCCCACATTTTAGTGTGACTGAGACGATAACGAGACCGTTCATTGCAGAGGTAAAAATAAGACAGCTGTGGGGACATTCAGTTGTCCCTGCTGGGAAGCAAAGGTTTCCTTTGCCTTCCGTTCCTCATGAATAACATGAGGGACGATTAGTCTAATCTTCCCTCATGTTATTATGCATGAGGGACGATTACTGGTAATCGTCCCTCATGTTATTATGCATGATATTATGATATTATGATATTATGTTATTATGACGATTACTAGTAATCGTCCCTCATGCCATTCATGAGGGAGGGATGTTCGCTTGTAAACATCCCTCGGAAGACAAAAGAATCCGAGGTGATCATGGTATTATTTTGTTTATTACTTTTACAGATCTCTTCATCTTTGTTTTTATCTGACAGCTAATTTTTAAAAGCCAAGAATAATAAAAAAATCAATAAATAAAATAAAAAGAAGAAAATAGGGAGATGGAAAGACGAAACATTAAATAAGAAACAATGGTCTAATTATAGTTCCTGGCTCATCTCTCACTGGCTGCTTGGGGGCAATAATAAATTGTTGTGGTAATGGCTGAAGGGGCATGGTCTGATACAAAGAGGATTAGAAAATTTCACTTCATCCACAACTCTGGTATGTCATCACTATTCCCAGTACCCACTTTTCAATTTCCACCTCCCCTTCTCAATGCTAGTTTCTGACAAGACCATTTACGGTCTTTATTCCATTTCTTTCGTGCTATTAAGACTTTTCACAACAAAAATCGACTGCTTGACCTTTAGTTCTGGGACTAAACGTCAGGCAGTCGAAAAATCTCTGATGCCGTGCTTGTGTTTGAAACTTGTCGAACAGTATTATTTCGGTCTTAATTGTATTTCCCTTGTTGTATTAATTGAATTTACGGTTGTTCCGACTATTGCCTGACGTTTAGACACTCCGAAACGAATAAAGCTTAAACTGGTTTTTTTTTTTTTTTTTGCTTATTTTTTAATGATGTAAGGGGATTCCCCGAAGCCTCGAGAAAGAATATATAAAATAAGGCACTCTGTCAGACGTGCCTACAGTGTATTCAACTAACACTCTAAAGACAGAGCAAGTTTTAAATCCTTTTCAAGGTAACAAATACGACAGCTTTTATAATACTAACTAGTTTTAGTTGTCCTCCATATTTGATTTTCAGTGTTAATTCTACTTGTCGTCACCTATAGTTTGTAATAAGCAAACTTATATATTTACAAATCAAAGCTACGCAAAAGAGCGACATAACCATCATTATTGCATTTTCTCGGTTCGCTATTTAATATTAGGATACATGTATGTGTTATTGATGAATGGTTATCCTCTGCACTAAAATGGAGATTGATTTAATTCACACGCTCGAAAAAAACTAATCATTTTAACGTAAGCCTTTGCGGTACTAACGTGTAATAATAATAGTATTTATAGTCATAAAAAATATAATATATCATAATAACAGCCATAAAACAACATCAACAACAACAACAACAACAACGAAAGAAAACAAACAGCAAACACATAAAAATACACAAAAAAAGATGAAGTCGCAAGCACCTTTTGCATAAGTTCCAAATCGTTTCGGAATTTCAAGGGAAAAATTTAAAAGTATGATATTTTGAAATTTTAAAAACGTACACTGACACTATGAACTTTTCAAGAGAATGCCGCGTTGATTTGACATACTCAAAATATCCCGCGAGTGGAATAAATTGAAAAAAATGCTTACTATACAAGTAAGTATAATTCTTGCTTATATACATGCACTTTTTACGGGAATCCCCAAGGGAAATACCCAGAATTATATAACTTATATGGGTCATTCTGTCATACGCCTTTGGAATGATATGTTTGACATGCTAAAGACAGAACATCGTTTATAGCGTCCATATCCACTTAAGGTAAAATTATTAAGACAAATTTGAAACCTCCTCTTCTTTTGGCGTTTAGAGTGATCGCACTTAATGCCGTGAAAGCAGCACAACTGTTGAGCCTGGGTCCCCTGTAACGACTTTTGGCCAATCCGGAACACCCTTAAAACAACCAATCGTCATCAGGTAGCAAATCGTATGCGGGGGTCCCAGAACACGATATCGTGCA